TGTGTGTGTGTATGCGTTTGTGTGTGTATGCGTGTGTGTGTGTATGTGTGTCTGTATGCGTGTGTGTATGCCTGTGTGTGCGTACGTGCGTGTGTGTGTGCGTGTTTCTTGTGTAAGCTGAAAGACGCGAAAAGTTATTGAAATATCTATTGCTCCAAGGGTTCAGGGGATCTCGTAGTCGAGCAGTCTCGACTAGAGCTTTCTTACTTGTTTTTTTTTTTTTTTTAGCGGGAGGCCGGTTTTTTTTACCGTTCGATATTTCAATTGCTAAATTGAAAAATAAACAATAAACAAACGAGATTTTTTATCTTTGCGTAAAGCAGTTCACGCCTCACATTTGCAATGAGTAATGGAAATGTGATTCACGGCACGAGGTTGTCTCCGTCTGTCAATTTTGACAGCTCTTTTGTTTGGCGTACAACGATTCGCAAGTCGGTTGCTTTGTGGAGCAAGGACGTAAAATCCATTTCAGGGCAGGCCTTGTATTTCCTGCTTTCGCCGTTTTTAGATCCGCCCACACGAACGGAATTTGCTGACGTTCATATTTGATTGCCAAAGAAAGTCGCAATATGATAAATTAAGGTATTGTTAGGTGAAGTGAGGCAGAGAAAAGGTTGAGGTAAAGAAAGAGAGAGAGGTTGTTATCCCTTTTTAGGCAGAGAAGAGTAGAAAAGTGTGGAGATCTATGCAGAGTGAAGAAGAGATAAAAGTTTATAGTAAAATAGGTGAGCTACAGAAAGAGATGGAGAGATAGATTGAAAAATATATAAAGAGAGGAAGAGAGAGAGAGAGAGAAAGAGGGATGTAGACATACAGAGAGAGAGAGAAATTTAGTTTTGGAACATTATTGAACAATAACAACACTTCGAAAAGATCTTCAATAACTTGGAATCTGTTTGAGAGAAGCTCAAAGAAGATTTCTTTATGAGATTACAACTCTTATGCAATCTCTATATAAATATCTATGAGCCTTAACCTTAATCAATATATATAATTGCATAAATCAGTTGCAAATAATAATACATTTGACTTGCTTTATTTTCTCATAAATGCTGGATCTTCTTCTTCTGCCATTCCATTATCATTTTTTTGTGGTTTCGGTGTACTATTTTCTTCTCTGTCTTTATTATTATTATCATTTGTAGTTATTGCCTTAACTGGGATGCCATTCGACATTTGCGAAATCAAGGAGGTCTCCAGGGCCTTGTCGATGTAGGTAATGAACGACCTTTTCATTTGATTGAATCCAAGTTCGGCATCAGCAATAGAATCTTCTTGCTTCAAAGCAAATGGAAATTCGCTGGCCGTTTTCAAGAAAAATGTTCCATTGATTAGAGGAGCTCCATAGCCCATTAAAACAATTTGGCTGGGATCTTCGCTGCTACGACCCCAGAAATTGTGATTAGGTATTATGGACTCAGCATAGAACAGTGGCGCACGATTATGATTACAGTTCGTTTTATCTTCTGCATCCACACAGCCGGGCTGTTGGAGCTGGCCAAAGTTGGGATAGAAATCAGCATGCCCCACTCTCTTTAGCAAGCCATATTGCAGGGTATCTGTATGTATGACATCGACATACTCAGCATCTGTTTTATCTAAGCGCATCAATTTAGCAGCACTTATGAACAGAGGCTTGGCAGGATCCAAAGCCGTTATGTGCTTCAGCTTTTTAAACACATTGTTGGAAGTCTGTGCAGCTACTTGAGCGCCCAGACTAAAGCCAATTAGATGCAAGTCGCTATTATGTACGATATCCCTTCCGACCAGAACATTGATCAATTGTGCCAGACACTTGCTAACTAGAGGTACATTTTGCACAGCCTGGGCATAACATGGAGACTTCACTAGTGGAGCATAGTCCACAGATATGACATCGACATTCGTGTGATTTAGGAAAGCGGGGCGAATCGAATTATTTGGGGGAGAGTTACGATTGCCCGTGTAGCCATGGATTAGTACAACAATCTTCCCACCGTGTTGAAAGATGTTGCGGTTTAATTTAACCGGATGGATTAATTTGGGTATTTTATTTCTGCATATGGAATAGTCAATGAGTTATTAATACCCTACTACGCAATAACTTATAACTTATAACTTACTTAGAGTACAGCCAGAATTGTACGTACGCGTTTGGACATTGGGCCTTGACCACAGGGCAATTCGACCTGGCTTTACCAAAGGAACAGATCACAACAACTGCAGAGACGAAGCAAGTTCTATATCTACATATCGGAATGTTATTGAAATACACCTAAATCTCACCTAACAGCAAGAGCTTCATAGCGTTAAATGATTTATAAAACAGTAAAATTGTATAGATCTAGAACTAATTTATAATTTAGCGCTTTTCATGGAATCCAGCGTGACTGGCAAAGTAAATTAGATTAATATTTCTACAGACACTAAAAAAATGTAAAAATCTTGCAAATAATAAAAATAGTATAATAAATAATAATAAAAAATACTATAATAAAGTTTTATATGAAAACAAGTAAAATTCTTGTAAATTTTTTATCTGTGGATCTCATAAATTTGAAAAATATTCCATTTGTAGAATTATTTTATCCAATGCTTAAAATTTATAGAATTTTCAGACATTTTTCATTTAACATATGATTGTACAAATTGTAGTATGTGATTCTTAGCATATAGCTGCGTCAGTTTATTGAATTTGATAGGCTTCTGTGAGACAGTGAATGCAATAGCTCAACAGAAAAAGACACAAACTGAAGAAACTGCAATGTATTTGTCACCTTTCTAGCGAATCAGCCAGTTAGACTTCAACATAAAAAGTGCTCAAGTGCATTAGCCTATTGATTTTTAGACAAAGACTGGGGGAATGAACAAGAGAAACAGAGAATGAGCGGGAGAGAGCGGTAGACTTGGATTGCAAATCAAACTAATCCGCTTAAGAGCCTCGATTTACGGCCAGACAATGACAACACCCGAGCTGCTGGACTGCCCTATGGGGCCTCCTCGCCTCGAAATGCAATTGAAGCGCACTAAGCTGTTGGCCCATATTGATTTTCAAATGCAAATGCCCAGTTGAGCCGCCAAGGCAGGTGAGCAATCGAGACACGTGACAAGGTGCAGGCAGCAGGTGCCAGACTGGCTTGGGTTAGCTATTTTTAAACAATCAACAATGCAGCTGCTGGCCCAGCTGAGTGGATAAGTCGCTCAAGCTGGCCGGGCTAATCAAAAAGCCATTGGCCACAGACAAAAGCCATCCAAGAGCCCCAGCGACCCACTTGAACATGCGCGCTCGTGACATTCGACTGGGAAACGTGCAAAGCGACGGGAAATCGACAAAAAAAAAAATATATATA